GGAACAGAAGAGGGTTTCAGTTGCACAAAATCTGGGTATGCTTGAAAAACTCACTATTGAAAACATATCATGGTATGTATAATTTTGCTATTTTTGCTCCCCTCCAAAAAAAGCACTATAAATAAGCAGTTCAATTCATTACTGCCTCACCAACATTATAAAAGTTGCTTTCCAAAAGAATCAGCAGATGGAATTTTCTCACATTTAGCTAAATACATTTTTTCAACCCACTGAAACTTTTTGCAAAAAATGTCAATTATCCTAATGCAACTGGGTAAACACTTCTTGACAAAGTTTTCATGTTGTCTACTACTTAATAGAGCCACATGAAGTGGGAGTTTTTAAACACAATTTTCTCTTTTTTGAAAGAATATATGTTGACAGGTCACAGATTATTTACCTAAAGGAACAGGTAATATAAAACTACATATGAAGTAGCATACAAAATATGAAAAAACATTTTGTTAGAATTCAACACAGTATTTGGATAAAAGCAAAGCTTCAAGTGGGATTCCTAGCATATTTTCCTGGCATCTAACGTATGTAACAGAATTTGTTAATAATCTACCAAACAACAAGAAAACCTTAGCTGTAGTATAAAGTTTTTGATAATATTTTTTGAAGGTAGAATGAGTTTAAGATAAAAATTCAGTAATATTTTTGCTTTGAGCCATGCTTAAACAGTAAAAACTTTCAAAATATACTTGAATTTAACAGTCTTGCAGGATAACAGAAGACAAGACCAGGTTAAATATCTGAAAGTAAATAGGCCAAAGCAATGCAGTCACCTGAAATAAGTGAATTGTTTCTGAATGTTGTATTTTTCTCTAATCTTCACATTGGCAAATCACCAATATAAACATTTACTTTGAAAGGCTGGTCAACTCTGCTAACATGCTTGCAAACGGTGAGTGTGTGAGAATGTGTGTGTGTGTGTGTGTGTAGAACTTTAATTTAGGGAACACAACACACATTTAGCTAGCCATTCAATAAAAGTTACACAGTATTTTATATACATTGTTACCACCTGGACTGACTTCCTCCTATATATCTAAGATTTATTATCTACATTTATAGATGTATATTTATGTTATCTACATTTGTAAATCTACGTTTACTATGCAGAAACTCTTGAAAGTACATGCAATTTTTTCTTTACCAAATTCTGAATATTACTTTGCTTTTTCACTCTTCCACTTTTTCATAAATACTGAAGTTTTAATTACAAATTATGGAAGTCATCATTTCCTCCCTTGTGAACTATATTGAGGACAAAAGGCATTAGCTATTTCAGATTAATTTAGCAAAGCCACTTTTATGTCAACATTACCACAACATATAAGTTTCAGTATACCACAAAAAATTAGTGATTTCAGAACTATTCATTCCAATTAACAAATACTTTTTATAAAAAAATCTGCTCAAAACTTTCCATTCACTTCATTTATTATCATAAGGTTTTAACAATGCTCATAAAAGATCCAAACAGAAACTTACTTACCTAAAACATCTGCACTCTGCAAAGGCACACACTCCATGTGGATTATTGAAGTTTAAGTTTCCTGAACAACTTAGAGGATTTTCCAGATACTGAACTTAGTATATTCAACAAATAGTTAAACTTTCCCGCCTCATTATTTGATAATCTAGGGTCTTTACCAAGGCCCACAGGATTCACCACTGAACAAAGACTACAATGGGTAAGTTAAGATGAATCTGCTCAAAGGATTCTCATACAAAGAACTCAAGATTATTAAAGGATAACTTCTAGCTCATCAGATAATTATATTCAAAATAGTTGCATAAATGTTTCTCAGTAGGTGTCTTAACAGTTCACGCTCAGTTTTGTAATCTGGCTAGCTAGGGTCCGTCAGATTTAGAGAGGTGGCTGCTCAGTATATTCAGTCAGTATGCCTGTTCTGTTGCCCTCTGTCTCTGGTGAATCCTCTCACCTCTCGCACCTCTGGCCTGTACCCCTGTTCTTGTATGCATAAATAAATAAATCTTAAAAAAAAGAGAGGTGGCTGCAGGATAGGGGTACATTTTTCCTGGCATTTTGGTGAATTTTGGAGCATCCCTATCTCTTTGCTTGTCGTAAAATAAAATGCCCTGGAAGTTAAAAGGCTGCCTATATCACCCATTTGGCTAAACAACCTTAGGTTAAAGGGGGTGCTTTCTAAGGAAAGCGACATCCAACTGGTATTGTTTCCAGTAACATCCTGAACTTGAGTCAGTGAAAGGAGCATCATTGAGGTAATGATGAAGCGTGTTCTCACCCCATTACAAAAAGAATTCAGGAGATGGGAGAAAGGAAGTCTTGGGTGTTGAGGGAGGAGAGTAGTGTGATATGGTAGGAAGAAACAGGGGTATAATGTTAGGCATAAGAGTGTAGAGGAATTCCTAAAAGATAGTATTCTCCAGAAGCAATTCAACACACAGTTTAAGATAATTAACATTTTGGAAATACCCGCAATGGTCAAATTAACATTTTGGAAATACCCGCAATGGTCAAATGACACACTGAGAACTTCCTAAAAAAAAAAACTCTTGCCTTGAAACACCTCAAACGTGACTCCTCAATGTGGAGATCAAAAAAGCCTGGGATCCAGCACCAGTTCTGCCAACAATCAGCTGCATGATAAATTGATTATCGAAGATTTCTCATTCTCCTAAGCCAAAGCATGTACTGTGAACGTTTCCAAAAATACACAGTAAAGAGAGTGATAGCAGGAACACATTGGTGAGTATTTCTAAGAGTCTTAAGTGGTCAAACTTTGCTACGACTTCAAATAATCTACCATTTGATTTTACATTGTTTTTTTGATGATTGCCTTTGACCACTTGTCTTTCCATTATGTCTCCTGAGATGCTTTTTCACGTTACTTATTAAGAATTTAGGGCCAGGGGGCCTCCCCGGTGCTGCAGGGATTAAAGTCTCAGCACTATCAAGCTATCGCCAGCCACTGCAGCATGGGGTTCAATCCCCGGCCAGAGACCTAAACCACATAGCGCAGTAGACTTCTCCTGTCTCCCCCGCTGCTCCCCTCAGCAGTGTATTTCAGTCGACCCGCCTATTCTGCTCCCCACTGTCTCTGGTAAATCCTCTAAAGGCCCCCCCACCTCTAGCCTATACCCCAGTTCTTGTATGCATAAATAAATAAAATCTTAAAAAAAAAAACCTTAAATACAAAAACAGTTAACACCTGTTTTCAACTTCAAAATTACTCAGAGCTTTAATACAATGTATATGGTAAATCTCCAAGATGGAAGGACAAGTGACTAGCACTTTCTAAACTCAGATGACCACCTAAGTATTTTAATGTGGGCCATCTTCACATAGCAGTGTTCTATAGAACATATTTTAAGGGAAAAAAAACACTCATATATTCTTTCTAGAGTCCTAATACTTGTTTATACAAATCACATGACACTTTTGCTAGAAGAGGAATTTTTTTCACAAACACAAATGTTTGTCTTTTAATACCTCTTATTGCAGTCCTAAATAAGACTCCAAGGTCAGATCACTATGACATCCTCCTTCCAAAAAGCCACCATCAGTACCTCATTATCAGGACAGAGGATGAACACTTCAAGTTTTGTAGAAGTGAAATACTCCTTTGTCTTGGGTATATATGTTACCATAGACAGAAGCTTTTCCTTGCTGTTCCAGCAACAGTTGTCCTCTGGTCCAGTCTGAATGAAAAGGAGACGCTGGCATGCATAATTTTATTGTTTATCTTACACTGAATCCCAAACAAAATTACGTACCTGATTAATACAAAAGGTCATAATTCGATAAAAGCCAGCAACCTGAGACAAAATTGGTATGAGAAAAACATAGTAATGTTCTTAAATATTAGTATCAGCTAAAATATTGAGAAATGGTTGTAGAGGTCTAGTACTGTCTTTTTACAGTACTTATATGAATGTTATAAAGAATTTGGCAGAAACCTGTGACAAAAGTTCTACTCCAGTCCATGACTCTTCTTGGTTAAAAGATTACAACGTTTGACAATACTTTGCATGGACAAAGACTGGCCACAGTCTTCTGAGCAGTGGGTGATAAACTTGCCTTCAAGAGTATATCTGATTGTTCCTTACAAAATTCTGTAATAGATGATAGAAGCTGCAGGTGTGCATTTGTAAGCTGTGAGTAGTTTCTGTGATCTCAGAACTGGTGCGCTAACAATCAAATGAGATACAAATGTTCAAACTTTATCTATACTACCCAAGACACAGCGATTCTTAGGGTAAGAACAGAGGACTTCCTCTGCAGAGCTGCAGTAGCCAGCAATGTCAGGCAGGGAGGCCAAGGTTCCTTAAACTAATGAGCAGGTCAGTAGCGAAGAGCAACATGGCATCTACATGGAACCTGATCTGAAAACATGTTAAACTGAGTTTCTTCCTCCCATGGTTATGGTATCATAAAATTCCAAAGTACTTCACAAATTCCTAGTGCTTTTCCATCTTAAGGTAGTTTACATTTTATAGCTCCAGTGACCTGCAAAAATGGTTGGAATAACCCACCTACATCTTTATCTGATATGTTCATCCCTGACCCCAGCCCTTGTAAGAAGGTTACTTACAGGGAAATTCAGTTTCTCTAAAAACTATACATACTAAGTAACAATGGTAAATAAAATGGGCATACTAAGAGCGCTTAGAAACTGGCAAGGGAACAGCAGTCCATTACCACCCCAAAATTCATTCACCTTCATCCATTCTCATGGACAGAAACAACATGAGTGAGATCAAACATGAAGAATAAGTGAGGCAAAGGTACAACCAAGTCAATCTGTCTGAATGTGGGCAATGGTGCTTGGATTACACGCTTACAAATCCTCGGGCCCTTTTAAGTAATCCCCAACTCAGCTCTTAAAACTGCAGGGTTCTGCTGTAGAGAACTCAGATGTGATGTAGTGGCTCCAGGAACTCTTTTTCACACCACTGCATGTCAATACTGAGAATGGTTTCTAATCAATTTAAACTGCACACAGTACTTTAACAGAACAAGTAGTTTATTATTCCCACTCAGTAGTTCCTGGGGGCTTTGATGTTAAGTCATACATAATTCGAGAAATACCAGGAATCTTCTTAATCTCAGTGACCATCTTTAACACCACCTGTTATAAAACAAAGATTATCAATAGAAGAGCCAGGATCCACTGCATGTATCCAACAGATCTAGAAAGCTTACATTTGAAATTAAAAATGTGACCTATCTGTACTATTGTCCTCAATGTACAAGGGATGGTCTGATTAGTTCTATGTAGTGAACCTATTTCCTTTATAGATTTAAGTGACTTCAACGCAGTACCACTCAGAGTGGACTTGGCAAATAATGTTTGTTACTAGTCCATAATAAATGCTCAGAAACACTGATAGCAATTTGACATTGCTATGGCTTCCAAGCACATTATTTTATGTATTTATGTCAATGCTTCACAAATTGTGGGTCAAACACAGAACTCGGTGACCACTGCTGGGGCACATGATGCCCCTATAATAACAATACTGCCAAGTGTACAGGAGGAGGGAGAGGCCTCACTTGACAGGTCAGAGAATTGGCAAGTCTGAACTAAAGAGAAAACAGACTCTACATCACATTACCCAGCCAGCTGTCCAGCTATAGCTAGAGCCGTGCATTATACATCTGGAGCAGTGGTCCCACTAATAGTCTTATTTTCCATTTGCTACTATGCAGAGTTCTGTAATCACATGCTGGTGGGGGGATAAAAGGAGGGGGAGATGGTGATTCAAAATAGAATTGGTAGTAAATACAGCAGGAGGCAACTCATGGGTGCCTGGCCATAATGCCATCAGATTGCATCCCTATTACTAATAAATTTTCCTTCACTTCTAGGGTTTTCTTTTTTGTTGGGAGAATACTATCTATAAAGCAGAAGTTGGCAAGATTAGATAAAATTATAAGTTAGAGTTGGTTCCACTCCACACAGTAATCAGACATGTGGAGGTACAATAAATTTAAGGCCCCTTTTCACAGTTTATAAACAACCATACAGAGATTAAAAAAAGAACACATTTTAATAAAATCAACCCCACAAATAACAACACTGTCATAGTCTATTCCATTCACCTTATTAAAAAATTATGAGATTAAAAATAATATATAGATTAAAAATAATATATATAGATTACCTCTACAGGGATCTCATTGCCAGGTGTTGCAGGTATACCAGTCATGAAATCACTGGTAATAAAGGTTCGAATAACCACAGATCTCTGGCAGGAAGGCTGCTTCTGGAGTGGGTCCCGATCAAAATGTAATGGTGTCAATATCACTGGCATCTGACTGATTTTTCCAGCATACCCTAGACAGCAAGTTAACACATCGAAACAATCACCACACCATGGAAACACACTGTAACCCAGTTCACATAAATCCTTCCAGACAATATCTAAAACGACACACACTCGCTAGGACTGACATCATGCACTGTTTCACTAACATTGTAAATAATCTAAGTCTATAAATAATTTGATAACCGTGACATGTGACAGTGGTGTAATTACATATACACACAGAGTCAATTCTTGTTATGGTAGCTATGTACTATATATACTGCTGCAAACAGTGAATTAACAAATATTGAACCACTGCCCCAGGAGAAACAGTTAGGTTCCTGCAAGCACTGGTCATCCATTTTCATCTACTGACAAGTATGTAATCTTGTTTTATGTATGCTTCTATTTAAAGACACCTTATTTAATATTATGGATTAACATTGAAGCTATGCTCTATAGGTTCAGGCACTATAATTCACACCTGAACAAAGCTTATCTAACCTGTGTATTTTCTCCATAAGGCACATCACAGGCTTCTTGTGCTTAGGAACATTAGACAGCACCTCAGCTCTAAGCATGGGGGCCATTTTCAACAGTGGAATCAACAAAAATGCAAACAATAGCTCAAAAAATGACTACAAAAAAGGACACTTGTTTAAAATAGGGAACTGAAACAAAAAGTTGCGTGTCAGGGCCTCCCCAGTGGTGCAGCGGTTGAGCGCTGGGTTGCGAAGCTGCCTGCAGCCTCTGCAGCGCTGGTTCGATCCCCGGCTGCTTCCCGGCCACCGGAGGAGGGTCCCACATGGCGCACAGACCTCTCCTGCCACCCGCTGCTCCCCTCAGCAGTGTACTTCGGTCCTTCTGCCTGCTCTGCTCCCTGCTCTGGCTCTGGTGAATTCTCTCACCCTCCCGCGCTTCTGACTGTACCCAGTGCTTGTATAAATAAATAAATAAATCTTTAAAAAAAAAAAAAAAAGTTGCATGTCACCTCAGCCAACCTCAGCTGGGAATGTGCAAGTTGGGAGGTTCCAATTTTTTTGCCACTCTACACATGTCCACAAAGGACAACAAAGGTGAGTAAGAGTTATAGAAAAGGCAACATCACAGAACTAGTTATATAATTAAATAATAAAAATGAAATCACCTAAAAATTAAAACTAGATCCTCCTACCAGAATCATATACTGTCAAGTTTCTAATATCTAATGCCAGCAAGCAGAGGTAAATAAAATGAGCAACATACCAGACTCCCTGAGAATGTTATGGGCCTCAAAATCAGCTTGACGTAAAGTACTGAGCACCCCTGTCGTCAAAAAAGTGGGAGTAACATCTGTAGGAGGTTCTTTAACTGGTGGGCCAAATATATAGACAACTCTAGAAGGGGAAGGTAAAATTTTAGAGAAATTATTTTTTAGTGTAAGAAGCAAAGCATACAGAATAACATTCATTTATTCCTCAGTGCCTCTCTTATCTACTACAAATCCCCAATTAGTTAAGACAGGATGTAAGAGTAAAGGAGTTTCTATGTATCTTCCTCCAAGTATATTCTCTAGGGGCCTCTCTGGTGGCACAAGGGGTAAAGTCTCAGAACTATCAAGCTATCGCCAGCCACTGCAGCATGAGTTCAATCCCTAGCCAGGGAGCAACCCACAAGGTGCAGCTGACCTCTCCTGTCTTCCCCGCAGCTCTCCTCAGCAGTGCATTTCAGTCAACCTGCCTATTCTGCTCCCCACTCTGTCTCTGGTGAATCCTCTCACACCCTGTACCTCTGGCCTATACCCCAGCTCTTGTATACATAAATAAATCTTTAAAAAAAAGTATGTTCTCTAGGATACTAGCACCCCAAAATGTGCAAAGATAGATGTCATTATCATAATTCTCTTTTTATATAATGTGTTAGGTTGAAGAGTGTTCCCAAAACTTCATGTCCATCAAGAATCTATGGGTGGAGGGCCTCCCTGGTGGTGCAAGGGGTTAAGCACCACACTATGAAGCAATCCGCAGCCTCTGCAGCACGAGTTCGATCCCCAGTCAGCCAGGGAGCAATCCACATGGCGCAGCAGACCCCTCCTGTCTTGCCTGCTGCTCCCCTCAGCAGTGTATTTCAGTCAGTCTGCCTGTTCTGTTCCCCGCTCTGTCTCTGGTGAATCCTCTCACCTGCTGCATCTCTGGCCTGTACCCCAGCTCTTGTATGCATTAATAAATACACAAATCTTTAAGAAAAAAAAAAAAGAATCTATGGGTGGAAATGGTTCATGCAGGTATCATCAGGAGACAAGGTCCTACTGGATTAGGGTGACACCACTCCAGTAACTGGTGTTCTTCCAAGAAGAGGGAAATTTAGAAACACAGACACATACACAGGAAAGAGGACCACTGAAGACAGCTGACAGACTGGAGCTACACTGCCACAAGCCAAGGACTGCCGGCAAAGATCAGAAACTAGAAAAGGCAAGGAAGGATCCTCCTATCAACCTTGCAAGAGAAAGCAAGGCCCTGCTCACACCTTGATTTCAGACTTCTAGCCCTCAGAACTGTTAAGAAATAGCATAAGCCACTATTAAGAAGAACATTTAATTAGCAGTCTGGCATCAAATGAGATTTTTGAAATGTATATGGAAAAAAATATTGAGTATCACACATGTTATAAATGTGTATAACACTAGAAAGTAATGTACAAACAAAACCTGGATCTGAAACACTAAATACCAAATACATTAGACATTTAATGTACTTCTTTTAAAAATATCTGGCATATACTATATCATTGACTTCCCTTGAGAGGAGGAGGGTGATGATGTGATGATTATTCCCCTGGGATGATGATTACTGAATTCACCAAGTTGCTATTGGTAATTCTGTAATCTATACATATTTACTTTCAGTCCATCCTTCTAGATTAAAACATGTTACCAAAAAACCAAGATGGCATAAGCCACTACTTTGGAAGACACGTTTTAAAAGCTACCATAAACATTTTAAACTAAAATAAAAACCCTTCATATTTCTCACCAAAACAACAAAAAAAATTGTTTTGGTAAGCAAATGATTGCAATACAATGAAAGAACAAAACACAGGTATCATTGAATGTACGCTCTATTGTGACCTACAGGCATATACTGTATCTATACTTGACGATTCTGGTTGTTTCAATCCTGGCAAGACCTTAAAAAACACATCCCTCCTTTATACCCTACCTTTATGCCTCACCACCTTACCTTGCAGAACATACCTGTTAATGTTGTGACACATACGAGGTATAAGCCTAGCCAGGAAAATAAGAGAGTCCCAGTCAGGCTCATCTTTACTTGAGATCCCACAAACGTAACTATAGGAACGACAGTCACCCTAAAAATAAAGACACAATTGACAATACATGTTTGAATAAAAGTACAGGGACTTCTCTAAAGATACAATAAAATAAAGTCATATGTTAAATTCTACTTACATCAGTTCAGTATCAAGAAAGTATGATGATACTTCCAAGAATTTATTCAACATATCACCGAGATACATTAAGCTTTCATCACTAATACCTGCCCATGTTTATTAGGTGGATAAAGGATTCTCAAGTCAAAGAAAAATAATCTCATAAAGATTTACTTACCAATTTCTTTTAAACTGATCTAATGATAATAAAACTTGTTAATAATATTGACTGCCTTTTCACTGTCTTAGTTCATTCAAGTAATTTGACTTAAAAAATCTTACTAAACTGAGAAGCAATTTTGAAAGATTCATTGGGTAACTGTACACTGAGAATGAGACCTCATGCTAACTTGATTATATCTATCCCAATGTACTTGGCGCTGTAATCCAGGAAATGGTCTTATAAAAACAGATGAGCAATTGCTTAAAGATATAAGCTGTTACTTGCCGAAATGCCAATAGTGAGAAATTGAAAATAGTTTAAATGTACAATGGTAGGGAAATGGTTAAACAAATGATAGTATAACCATGCATAGAATATAAGGCGTGGAAACATAACAAATTCAAGGTATTCATTTAAAAGAATAATCATCTACTTGTCCTGGTGTGAGAAGATAAGTTCATGGCGCTCAGTTAAAAGAAAAAAGGTGACAATGTGCATTCATAATTTCCTTTTTACAGTTAAGTGTTTCTGGAAAGACATACACCATTTAATGGGAGAATACGGACAGAGAGCATTTTTTTTCAAATGTGCTGCATCTTGACTTTTTAAAGTATGGTTTGTTTTGATATTCAGAATATAAACTTGCTTCACTAACCATGAATTATGAGTTTTAGCTGGGCTTCCAAGAGTCTCAGCTTCAAAAGTCTGAGACTAGAATAAATTAGAAATCTAAAAACAAAACAAAATTTTATTTTGATAGTAATAGGAGATAAAATGAGCTTTATTTTAAAAGCTAATCCAATAAATTACTTCAAACTTCTATCATGAAGTTTTATCTTTATTTCAATATAAATTGTTACACATGTAGCCTTTAAAATGGAGGTGGGGGACAAGAACTCTATAACTGAAATAGCTGGCCTATCATTTCGATGAATTAAAATATTTCAAATTTTTTCTCACCACCATCCCTCATATTACCTTGTCCCTTTCTTCATCCTCACACCCTCCTAAGCTCACAGCTTTCAAGGTATTGATGTCTGCTAGATTTTTAAGTATTTTATCTAATTCTCCATACATAAATGTCCACTATTTATATTTATTACTCTGACTTGCTTTACTACACATAATTCCCTCAAAACTCTCTCCATTGTGCTATCAATGGCTGCATTTCATCTTTCCTTATGGCTGAATCATATTTTACAGTGTGACTACACCACATCTAGATCCAGTCATTCATTAACTGATGGACATGCTTCCATGTCCTACCGATTATAAACAGTGCTATAATAAATACTGTAGGGCATTTTATGCATTAATGGGTCCATAATCTCATGATAACCAAGAATGGTATTGCTGGGTCATATACTATTTCCACTTTTAGTTTTTGAAGGTAAATCCAGATCACTTTCCATAATAGCTTCTCCAGTCTATATTACTATCAACAGGGTAATAGCATTCTTCTTTCTCTGCATCCTCTCCAACGCTTATTGTTGGGGTTGTTTTTAATGTGTGTTATTGTCAGGGTGTGAGATATTACAATTTTAACTCACAGCTGTCATTGGAAATGACAATGAACATTTTTTATATAGTTGTTAGCCTTCTGGATATCCTGTTTGGTGAACAGTGTGTTTACATCTGCTACCCATTTATTAATTAGGTTTGTTTGTTTTCTGTTGTTGAATTTGTATGCTTTTTATATATCTTGGATATTAATGCCTTATTGGTTATATATTGTGTGAATATTTTCTCCCATGCAATAGGATGTCTTTACTCTTATAGATCTTTTGCCCCATGTAAAAACTTTTTAACCTTATATGGTTTTGGTATTAAGCTAATGTTGGCACTGTAAAATATATTAGGGACCATTCTCTCTTGTATTTTGAACAATATATGCATTAGTTTTTCTCTGAAAGCTTGATAAAAATCATTTGTAAAGCTGTCTGTTCTGCACTTTTGTTTTGGGGACGATTTTTAATTGTTCTATGTCCATACTTGTGATCAGTTTGTTCAATTTTTCAGTTTCTTATTGGTACAGTCCTGCCAAACTATATTGATAATAGAAATTTGTCTATTGCCTCTAGATTATCAAACTTATGGCGATTTAGTTGGTCATGAGTAATCTCTTAGGATCCTTTATATTTCTTAGTTGGTCATGGGTAATCTCTTAGGATCCTTTATATTTCTTTGCTATCTGTGCTAATTTCTTCTCTTTCATTTCATTAATGCTTCTTCTTTTGTTAGCCTAGCTAGTGCTTTGTGTATTTATCTTCTCAAAGAACAGACTTAGTTTTGCTTCTTTTCTATAATCTTAATGAACTTCATTTTATTTCCACTCTTATTTTTCCTTTCTTCTACTAACGTTGGTTATTGTTTGTCCCTCTATTTCAAGTTGTATTAGTTACAGTATTAAATTGTTTACTTGGAATTTCTCTTGCTTTTTAATGTGGGCCTGTTTTAAAATCACCTCTCTTAAGAGCTTTTGTTGCATCTCATATTCTGCTATCTTGTATCTTCATTTTCATTAATTTCAAGGTTAGATTTGTTTTAATTTTCATTCATATCCAACAGCTATTGAACAGCATATTATAGTTCCCATGTATTTGTAGTTTTCCTGCTTATGTTTTTATAGTTGATTTCCACCATTATGGCATTATGATCAGAGATGCGGGTACAACTTCAATCTTTGTAGTTTTATTGACAATTGGTTTGTGTCCCATATATATGGTCTATTCTCAAAAATCTTCCATGTTCACTTGAGAAAATGTGTGCACTTTTTTTTTGGGTGGAGTAATCAGCAGAAATCTATTAAACCTATTTTATCTGACCTCCTCATTTAAAACTAAGATTTCATTCTTTATTCTCTCTTGTTATCTGTCCATAGTTGTAAATGGAGTATTAATTCACTAATATTACTGTGTTACTGCCAGTCTCTTTCTATAGAGCTCCTTTATTGACTTTTGTTTTTTGGTGTGCTGCTATTTGGTACATATGTAATCCAGAGAGTGTTATTTCTTCTTGTGCTAGGCCTATAATCATAACATAATTATCTCATTTTAGCTGGAGGCTTATTTTATTTGATCTGAGTATAGCTGTCTATTTCTGGATTTTTTTGGATTCTCTTCCAGCCTTTAACTCTAACTCCATGCTTGTCTTTGTTGGCAAGGTAGGTTTCTTATAAGCAGCACATGGTTGTACTTTTGATTTGAAGTCCATTCAGCCATGCTTCATCTTTATATATTACATAATTCTTCCTTTTTGTACAATGTATGCTTTCTCCTCTTGGTTGTAGTCCTCATAAAATTCTCACCACCAATTCACCCACACACTACATCTTTTAACTGATTTATTCAGGTCAATACGTTTATGATAATTATTAAGATATAAGTGCTTATCAACATTTAGGGTTTTTTTTTTCTTTCAGTATGTCTTATTTTTATGTTTCATTGCGATTCCATTTCCACTGTCTTATGTACCACTTCTGTTGATTTGGTTTGAAGGTTCTACTGAGATTAGCATATGATGGGTTGTTTCTATTTTGGACAAAATGGTCTCTGACTCATTTCGATGGGCCATGCTGTTACTCTCCTCCTCCATGTTATAGTTTAGGTGGCTGTTAACACCACCTTTGTTGTTCTGGTGCTTTATATTATTATTGCTTTCATGTGTGGCTTGGTTTTGATAAATGTTTTGCTTTTCAATGAAGCTCCTTACTCTTCTATATACAATATTGCAGGGTCAAGGACTCTAGGCTGGAAATCTTTCCTAAGTACCTTAAAAGTGGCTAGTTATTCCCTTCTTGCTTGCAGTGTTTCTACTAAATAATCTGCAGATGTGCTAACTGTGGTGTTTCCTGACTGGTTACCCTTGCTTCTCTTGATGTTTCTAGTATTCTACACTTGTCAGTTGGCTTTGAACACATTTATTATAAGGTGTTTTATTATAGATTAGTCTGGTATTATTTTCTTTGGAATTCTGGGCTTCTTGGATTACAATGTCTGGTTCACTTCCATGACAGAGATGGTTTTCAGCAATTATTTCCTTACATAAGCTTTCTGTGCCTTTCTCCTCTTCCTCTCCTTCTGAGAATCCCGATACAGACATTATTTCTCTTCAGTTTATCCCAAAGGACTCTCACGATTTTCATTCTTTTAATTCTTCTTTTTCTTTGTTGTTCTATTTTGTATGCTCCTTGACATTGTGCTTTGGAGTGCACTAAGTCTCTCCAATGCTTCTGTACATCCACTATTGAGACCTTCTGCTGTGTTTTTATATTGGTTATAGTGTTGTTGTTGTTGTTGTTGTTTTATTTTGGTGTCTCACAGGGACTGGCTCATGCAATGAAGGAAAGGGTCCTTAATCAAATATACAGTGATATTCCACACTGCCACCTACAAAGTTGCAATTTACAGCCAGGCTTGTGCTCCATCTGCCCTGTACTCCAACTACAGTTGGTTAGTGATGGCAACAGGCAGGTATGGGACTAGAAGCTTCCAAAGCTTTACTTCTTCTATCAGCACTCCTGATTTTATAAGTGATTAAGCCCATCAACCCAATCTCCTGGTAAACTTGAGTACAGTAGGACTTCATGGGGATCCAAACTTTTTAATAAGGCCTTAAAACAAGTTGGCACCAGATTATTGGCTCAGGCTACTCCAACCCACACGGTCAATGATTCAGAAAGGCCACGACCTGCCCAGTTATAGAGTTTTTTAAAAATCCATTATTTTGATTGTAACTATCTCACGTTTTCTCAGCCTTTATTCCTATTTTACATCATCCATTGTTTTTGATTCTTGTGAGCATTGTTGTAACTGTTACCTTGAAGTCATCTTCAGGAATATTCCACAGTTCTGCTGGACTGAGATTTCTCTCGGGTTTTTGCACCAGCATTTGTGATTTATCTTTTGTCTCTTCATTTTTAGCTTTTATGGATTGTAATAGGGATAGACTTTCAGACTGTTGCCTTTGCACTTGTTGAAGTGATCAGAGAACTGGTACCAGCAAGGGGTAATAGGCAGAAGGGCATGAAAATATTTTAATTTAAAAGTAACAATAGGCCTCCCCGGTGGCGCAGCGGTAGAGCGCTGGGTTGCGAAGCTGCCCGCGGCCTCTGCGGCGCCGGTTCAATCCCCGGCTGCTCCCCGGCCACCGGAGGAGGGTCCCACATGGCGCGCAGACCTCTCCTGCCGCCCGCTGCTCCCCTCAGCAGTGTACTTCGGTCCTTCTGCCTGCTCTGCTCCCCGCTCTGGCTCTGGTGAATTCTCTCACCCTCCCGCGCTTCTGACTGTACCCAGTGCATGTATAAACAAAACAAACAAACAAGCAAACAAATAAATAAAGAAAAACATGCCTCTATAAAAAAAAAAAAAAAAAAAAAAGTAACAATAAATTTTTATTATCTTATTTACAGACAGCTATGTGAATTCAGGAGGAGGAATTTAAGCTGATGATTCAGATTCTATATTCAGGAGAAGAGTATATTTAATAAGTTTGAGATAAATAATCTCTAAAACAGAGTTAATTCTTTCTACATATAATTTTACTATAAGAGGACATTATAAACACATCCAATAACTGGCACTCATACCATTTTGAAATGAAGTGTTGACATGTTTTCTAATTTACAATTAAGTACACACTGAACTACACACTACACAACAGAAAAGAAGCCCTCCTCCCTGCCCTCTCCCAAGTTTTCTCCAGACACTATTTGTGAATAGCATTTTTAAAGTGACAACTATCTATTTTATCTTCACATCCTTTTACAACTGGAAAGGCAGAATAAATCACAGAAAATGTGTGTTATACATTATCACGGCTAATAGAGGACCTTTTGTAGAGGCAGAGAACACAGTTTAAAGAATACACATGCCAAGAACAAGATCTAAATGGTACAGCATGTTCATCTGAGAACTTTCTTGAGGTTAAAGAATTCCAAAGCCGCAGTGTATTTCACACAAAGGATAAATGACAATATGAATTCTTGATACCTGCCCTTTAAGTCAGAAGCAAGCAAGCTCACCCTGTAGCAAATCATTCTTTGAGCCTTTAATTTTAGATAGATGATGTACGTTATTTTTATATTTCATTATCCTAAGTTATTCTTACTTCGATATTAGTAGAAAGAACAAACTGCAGATCATTATGCCACAATGAATTCGTACAACTCACCTGCACACCGACAGTTTTAATTGGCAGCAGGAAGGCATTCAGTGAATGCAGACTTGTAATTTGCATCAGTTTCTCCTGATCCTCTTCTGTTGTGCAGGCTTTGACTCTTTGTAATAGGGTATGTGGCTGCAAAAACCAGAGACAATTGTTAAAGTATCAAATAAAAGGCATTCATTCCTTTGGTATCTATAACTCTACATAGCTACACTTACTGGTTATAACCAGTTATATATTATAACTAGTTAGCATCTCTAACAGAATTTCATTCCAAGAGTTAGCGCTATAAGAAGTTAAACATCAGAATAAGACATGCTGATTAGAGATTTACACACATTGAGGCTTTAATGGGGTCACCTGCAAGGGACACACCGCATGTAAATCAAACTTTCTCCTTATATAGAAATAAAACATTCCACCATGAAGTCAGCTTTGTCTGAAATTAATTTAGCTGCACTTCCTTTTTTTATTTCCATTATTTTTCTTTTCTTTTACTTCACACCTTTTCAACTAATTTGACAATCTATGTCTTAGCTAAAGATGTATTCTAAATTGAGGGTTAATGGTTATGATTAAATTTCATTCTACCACTTTAATCGTTCATTTCTTACCGATTTTTTACATATTCTTCCATTTTTTACATATTTTTTCTCCTTTCTTACATTCTTCTGAACTGATCTTTGCTCCCAGTTTTATGTCCCTATTACTGATTTTGAAGTTAAAACCCAACTTCATTCTTTTAATATTTTCCCGTAAGTGTTAACATAGACACTTAACAAAAGAAGATATATTTCCAAATTCCTGGCAAACAACACAAGCACCTTTGAAAACTTTAACTCCAATCAATACCCTTGTGTGCTATTTTAATTACATATTGTTGTTTCCCTTTTTGTATTCAGATTTTTCTCCTATAATTTTTGCTTCTCCTAAAATCAGTCCTTTAAAACAGCAGTTCTCAACCCTAGCTGCAAACTCAAATTACTTGGTAAGCTCACGTCCTATACTAGAGCAATTAAGTAAGAAATTTTAGTACAAGCATAGCACACTTCAAAAGCTCCACCAAATGATCCTAACACACAGCTAGGATGGAGAATCACTGTGTTTAATCCCTTAAATAACAAAGTCAGTAGTAAATTCTGTTTACCTGAAAATATCTTTATTTTACCCTAGTTGTTAGGAGACAGTTTATCTCTGATAACTACTGTTCACAATTATTTTTCTTGGCACTCAGGTTTCCTTGCTTTTACTGATGCTTTCAAAATTAGTCTTCCCTTTGTAAGGTAATCAATCTTTTCTCTTCAGCTGGCTTTGTCTTGGGAAGTCTGTAGTTTCTCTGGGTATAAGTACTATGTGCTGAGTTCTTTGCCTTTATCTTAATTGTGATGTGTTAAAATTCCTGAATCTGAGTCATAGTGGCTTTCATTGATATGGAGGAATTCAGTTATTTTCAATGTCTCCTTCGGGACATAATTTAAAATTGATGTTCTCAATCAATCTTAATCTTTTCTCATTTTTGTTTTGCTTTCTCCTAATTTCTTAATTTCTGTATCTGAATTCATTAATTTACTCTTTCATCTCAGTGATTTTCATTTCTAGAGCTTAGTTGGTTTTGATTTATTTTTAAAGGGGCCCAAGTCATTTTTGGTAGTCTCTTATCATAATCCTTATTCTTATTATCAATTGAGTCTTTTAATTCTACGTACTTTATATACTGCCTATCTGCTAATCCTAGTAGCCAAAGTGAGGATCTGTTCTGCTGATTGTTTCCACTAACATTCATTCTTGGTACCTTACTTCTATATCTACTTGGTAATATTTGACTGTAAGCTCATATTTGTTGAAATGTTCTATGGGAATTCTTCCAGGGCTGGCTGAAGCTATTCCAAAAAGAATTTACAGTAATTTCTCACCTGGAAATACTATCAACCAAGATCCACTTTGATTTGGTATTCTGAGCTTTTCAGATCACACACATTATGAATTTAAGGCACCAAATCCATGGATTTGGAGAAATCTAAGGACTAGGAGACTTTTCCACTCATCGTCAATTTAGAGATAAAATAACTTCCTTAACTTTCTTGCAACACATATGGAAGAAATGTTTGAAATATTTTATAACTACCACTTTCAGGAATTCAGGGTATCCAATCTGTTACATAGCTTAGAAAAAGAAGTCTGCATTTAACAGACTGTAGAATCCTCACAGTTATTTCAAAGGTAAAATTACTATGAATTTTCAAACAACGAAAACTTAACAAATTCACTATAAAAACTACAGTCAAGCAGGAATCCATTAAATTTCTTGTAGTGGCTGGCTTTGTTTAAAGCTCCTACAATATACAAATGCAAAGCAAATTATTACCTTTTTAACACTTGCAGAAAAATCAGCTACTATTTTCAAAATATTGTTTGTTTCAGGAAAGTCCTTACAAATATAAGGTTCTTCAGCACATATTACTCGAATTGCCAGGCCAGGACCTAGATAGAAAAGTAGCAATGGTTTTTAATTTTTCAAGTTAAATATAAAGTTTATATTAATTTACAAATGTCATTGTTCCAAAAATGTAATTCTTCCAAAATAAAATCTATCCACTTTAAAAGTTTTTTCCAGGGCCTCCCTGGTGGCGCCAAGGGTTAAGAAACAACCTATAAAGCTATCTGCAGCCACTGCAGCACAAGTTCTATTACTGGCCAGCCAGGGAGCTACCCACATGGGGTCGCAGACCTCTCCTGCCTCGCCTGCTGTTCCCCTCAGCAGTGTGTTACAGTCTGCCTGTTCTGTTCACCACTCTGTCTCTAGTGAATCTTCACACCCCCCCTCCACACCTCTGGCCTATATTCCAGCTCTTGTATGCATACATAAATAAATAAATCTTAAAAATAAATAGTTTTTTTCCAGTTTTGTTCAGATATAATTATTACATAACCAGTATAAATTTTTACAAGTATTTAATTTCAAATGTAGCTATTACCTTTCCCATCCAAACCATTTTTTAGAATGTTCAATCCTCTTTACTTCAATAATTTCTCCTATTTAATCCATGTATTAAATGTCATAAAATTATCCAATAAATATTTAATTGATATTATCTGTGCAAATTTATATGAAAAATTTTGTGAAGGGAATTTTCAAACATATATAAGAGGACAATATAAAAAAAAAACCTTATCAGTCATCACCCACCATCAATTACCAATCTAATTCTAGGAAGAATATGCTGCTTTAAAAAAAAAAATCAGGGATGTAGGGAAGTAAAGGGAAAATAAAAAGAAAATATCAAATATATAAGAGTATTTCAATCCAGAACAATTCTACTCACTTAATACTTAGAAGGATAAAATCACATGGTATGCATGGATGTAAGAAAACCTGGATTCTGTCATTTTATTTTAACAGTAGAAAGGCATCCTTTGAGGAGTCTGGCAAAATCTTAGCTATATCTATTAATCCCTCAGTTTCATTCTTCATCTTTAAACAGTTTGTTCAAGATAAGTAATATTTCTATCTTTTAAAGCAGCAAATCCTTCTTACCAGTGAAATCTTACATAACAGAAAACCCACACACAGACTTTTTACAAGTCATGTGAATCCAGCTAGAGTGAGGACCTGTGGCACAGGACCACTCAGTCTGCTTCCATCACATTCACACACACATCCCTTTGCCAACAACAGAGGCTACTGACTGAACATTGTGAAGCGCTGATTTGAAATTTGATGTAAGTAAGTGCTACTGGGCCTCCCTGGTGGCACAAGGGGTTAAGCATCGCACTATGAAGCAGTCTGCAGCCTCTGCACAACAAGAGTTCAATCCCCGGCTGGCCAGAGAACAGTCCACATGGCGCAGCAGACCTCTCCTGTCTTGCCCGCTGCTCCCCTCAGCAGTGTATTTCGGTCATTCTGCCTGTTCTGTTCCCCACTCTGTCTCTGGGGAATCCTCTCACTCTCCCGCACATCTGTCCTGCACCCTGGTTCTTATATAAATAAAATAAAAATAAATCTTTAAAAAAAAAAAATGAATATTTAATAAAATGATGTTAAAAAGAATATTTATCCCCACCCACTCTTCCTCTCTCGTTACATATTTCCTAAGATAACCAATTATTTCAAAATGACAAATCAAACAGAATTCAATTCAATTTTTCACCTGGAAATGGATGTCGAGAAACTAACTCTTCTGGAAGTCCAAGTTCTCTGCCTAAAATTCTTACTTCATCTTTATGAAAATCTTTCAGCGGTTCTATTACTTTTCCCTACCGGAAGGAAAAATGTCAATTAATAACAAATGACAAGGAAAATAAAATATAACAAGTTACTGGCTTTTCCTGTTGTCTTTCACTTTACTTGAAAGAAGCAGTTTTTAAACTTTCATCTTTTAAAATATTTCCTCCTTTATACTTGTAAGGAATTAAATGAATATTTCAGTGATTTTATTTCTCTGAAAAACATTTTAAACATAAGCCTTTGTCACATTTAAATTATGTTTATTGAGGTAATACTGGGTCACATTACATTTTTTTTTTTTTTTTTTTTTACTTTCTCATTTTTATTTTTCTTTCAATTTAATGCCCTGTGACAGTTTTCTTTTAGATGGAATACTTAGACTTGTGCACTTACATAATTAGTGATATCTTTGGGTTTATGTCTATCGTTTTGCTATAATAGCTTTTGATTATCCTTATCTTTCCTACGTTCTTTTTTTTTCCTCCTCTTTGCTTGCCTCTGGATAAATCAATTATTTTTTATACCTAATTTCCCCTACTCTATTACTTTGTTAGTTATACATTTATTCTTTCAGTGATTACTCTAGAGACTAAAACATGATTGACTAATTAGCATCTCCTTTTTTTTTTTTTAAATATTAAATTTTATTTTTATATTCCCCCATACATATTTTAAAGGTTCAAGTTCACAGCACTACAAATGTACATTATCATAATACACCCATCACCAAACCCCAATAATCCTGCATCACAGTCCATTGGGCCCTCTTCCCCATTTGCTCCCACCTCCCCATCCACCCATTCTGGTAACTTCATTTCTGTGGTGAGATATCAAGGGGTTGTTTGTTTTTGTCAGTTTCCACATGAGTGAAACCATCCAGTATTTGTCTTTTTCCTTCTGACTTATTTCACTGAGCATAATCCCCTCCAGTTTTACCTATGTTGCTACAGTTAAGATTTCATTTTTACAGATAAGTAGTATTCCAATGTGTAGCACACATAAGACTTTTAAACATAAATAAATCAAAACAAACTATCCACCATTCCAAAGGCAATTAGGAAATAAACTGGTGTTTCAAAATGAGATGTCTCCCAATGACACCACCAAGAAAGTGAACAGACAACCAAGCCACAGAAGGTAAATCATAAAGTATGTAAACTGTATGTAGGTAATATGCAAAATTAAAATATGTAAAATATTTTAAAAAACACTTTCAAGAATGAAATTTAAAAAAGCAATTAAAAATGGGCAGAAGATCTAAACAGACATTTCTCTAAAGATACACAGGGCCTGCCTGGCGGCCTCAGGGTTAAGTCTCCATACTATCACTGCTACGGCCTGTCTGAGTTCGATCCCCAGCTACAGAGCTAACTCACATAAGGCACAGCAGACCTCTCCTGTCTGTCTCGCTATTCCCGTTAGCAGTGTATTTCAGTCTGCTTGTTCTGCTCCCCACTCTGACTCTGGTGAATCTTCTCACCCCCTGTACCTCTGACCCATACCCCAGTTCTTCTATGCCAAAAATAGATACACTAATGGCCAATAAGTACTTGAGAAGATTCTCAAACATCAGTTATTAGCAAAATGCAAACCAGAACTGCAATGATACACCACATTACATCCTCTAGGATGTATAAAATATAGAGACAGATAATCCATACCCATTAGGATGGCTATAGAAAACACACACACACACACACAAACACACACTCAAAATGACATATGTATGGGGGCATACTGTAGAGAGACTGGGAGCCCTTGTGCATTGTTGGTGGGCTGGTAAGATGATGTAACCTCTATAGACACATGAAGGAGGCTCCTTAAAAAAATTAAAAATAAAACTACCATGTGACCCAGCAATCCCACTTCTTGGTATGTATACAAAAGAATTTATAACAGTGTCTCCAAAAGATATTTGTAAATCTACGTTCACAGCAGCACAATTCACAATAGCCAAAAAGTGGAAATAACCCAAATGTCCATCAACAGTTAAAAAGGATAAACAAAATGTATATATATATTCAACAGAATATTACTCAGGGGCCTCCTTGGTGGTGCAAGGGGTTAAGACGCTGCAAGCTTTGACGCTATCCACAGCCACTGCAGCACTATCCACAGCCACTGCAGCACGAGTTCATTCCCCAGCTGGCCAGGGAGCTACCCACATGGCGCAGCAGACCTCTTCTGACTCGCTAGTTGTTCCCCTCAGCAGTGTATTTCAGTCAATTTGCCTGTTCTGCTCCCCACTATGTCTCTGGTGAATCCTCTCACACCCCCCTGCACCTCTGGCCTATACCCAAGTTCTTGTATGCATAAATAATTAAAAAAAAAAAAAAACAGAATATTAGTCTTAAAAAGGAAATCCTGTCACATGGTACAACGTGAATGAATTTTGAGGACATTATACTAAGTGAAGTCAATCACAAAAAGATAAATAATATATGATTGCATGGATATGAGCGATCAAAACAGTTAACTTCATAGAAATAGAAAGCTAGGGTGGTGGTTACCAGAGGTTGGGGAAAGGGAGAGAAGGTTAAAGCAGCTGCTATTCAATGGGCATAGAATTACAACTTTGAAAGAAGAAAATGTTAAGAGATCTGTTTCACAGGAATGTAAATGTGTTATGTATACATAACACAATTTAACTGTTCGCTTAAAAGAGGATGAGGAAGGGTGAAAGTCTAAGGAGAAGTTCTCCTAAGTTTTTACCTCTTCTCTTAACTTTCTGATAAGCTCTGTGTCATTGTGGTGGGTTTTGATGAGTTCAGCTTTGCCACTTGCAACAAGGGATGCACTTTCAATGAGATCAGGCCGTAAAGTACCTTGCGCAAGAAATACCTCTTCTGGTTTCAGGTTCATTTCCCCAATTACTTCATTGGCGATCTATAACCAACGGGAGTAAAACTGTCATAACAGGTGAAACTTTTCACAGACAGGAAAATGTTATACTTTCAGCTACATTTCTCATAGTTATTTTGGAATACTGACCAGGAAAGGAAATCTACCACCCTCCCCCCAAATAAATTGCATTAAGACCATGTGTTTTCACCTGAATTGAAAAAAAGTACGCAAGATTCCTTCAAGAGTCTAAAATCTAGACAATGAAATAAATTCCCAAAGAACTAAAGTCTGATATCAACTAAAAACACCTGTTCTTAAACCATTAAAATAATAGCCTAGCAACCTAAGTGTACATGTCCTTTAAAACATTTAAAAATTTCTACTGGTCACAGTTATAATAACAATAAATAATAAAACTCTCAGGCAAAAAAATAATCACAATTAGCAAACATGGTTACTTGCTGTAATGACAAGAAAAACCAAATACTAAAATTCACATCAAAAATAGTACAAAATGAGTCTATTATACAGATACCTTAACAAACGTATCCCCAATAATTTTTCTTTTCTCTTCAGGACTTGTGGTCATATTTAATGTTTTGCTAATTCTTTTTCGTGGAGTTCTGTCTTCGTCTGATATTGGTAAAGTAGTTGTTCCATTGTAAAAAGAATGCGCAGCATTTATCACTAGGAAAGAGGGGAGAAACATGTTTTAAACAAATTATTAAAAAATAATAAAGAATAGGTCAAATTACAGACAGAAAATCTACATAAATCTTTTGATTTGCCTGTATCTTTCATAACTACTAATAAATCATGATTAACGAAGTCCAGACAAAAGCACCCGTTAATTGAGTCCTTTTGAGAAATCTATGGCATTTAATGATTTAGGGCCATAATAAAACAAATTATGCTGGTTGTTTTCCACCTATTCACAGCTTCACCAGAGCAACAAGCATAGTTCCAAAGGGAATCAAAAACAGTGGTTCTTATATAATAACCAAGTCCTCAGAACTGCACATTCATCTCTTGAAAAACTGATGCTGATAAGCATACTGGCTTTTATATTTAAGAGCAACATCTTAAAAAACTGACTGTGCTCTCTCTTTGGTAATAAGGCTGAGTAACTGGTGGGCATCACATGCTAAGACAGCTGGTGATTTCATGGGGGAGCCACTCTTGAATTTATGCTTCTTTCGAAAAACTGGTCAATCACCCCAGAGAAGATGAATTCATTCAGTGTACAGACTTCTACTTAGTCCTGCTTTTAATGTAGAATTCACTTACAACCTCAACTAAACCTGGTATTGATATATCCAATAGAACGCTTTCTTATTCAACCTCTATAGGGAATAACTTCAGTCTTCTGATGGGAAGGGATAGCAGGAGTCTGTTCCTATATTAAGGAAAACTACTTTCTCAGATTCTCAACAAATCCATTTTAGGTTCTCCCAAAGAATCATGGCCCATAGGTAAGCCAATGTCATTTCTTCCTTAAAGTTCTGCTTTTTTGTTGGCTTCTTCCCCGAACCCCACCCTAAGATTCCACTATGTCTCATAACAGGGATGGATCAGGACTTTTGTGAGACTAAAAGTTGGATAATCTGAAATGCCCCCCCTTCAAGAGAAATAACAGTAAATGAGGTATTTTAAAAGTCACAATACTAAGGATAACATGAATTTCATGATGCACAGTAACAACTACAAATCACATAATACCACTATATACAAACTAAATGTATCTCCAATTTAATGTTTTTCTTAAGACTAATCCCAAAATGCCTGTGGCCATATCAACACCAACAACAGAGCAAGTTAGAGTGAAAACTCAAAGCGAACTTAATCACAAATCATTAAAAACTCTTATATGACCACATCAAGACATTACTAGCCACTGTCCCAGTTTTTAGGAAAAGGTTGGCTAATGAGGGGTGCTGAAAGTTAAGCTTCATTAGCTAATCAGAGAAAATCTGCTTTTCGCCTTCCATCATTTTGTTAAAGGCATATTAGTCAGTTACCAGGTCCATTCCTTACCCTTGTGGCATTACAATTTTTTGGATTCATCTTTACTGCATGTCTAACTGCACTTTATAATTTGCACTGAATATCTAATTAAGCATTATAATATTTGCATCAATTCCAAATAATTCAATATTTACAGTTTCTATAATTAAATTACTGACCTGATTTCACTGTAACTTTGTTTATATAAAGTATAAAAGAAAATCCACAAATGAAATATAGCTAAAATCTAAGAAGTCTTCCTTTAAAGAAAAAGTGATGATGGACTTCTCACTCCTCTTCTCTGTACAAGATTTTGTTTGTAAATTAAACTATATGGGGGGGGCGGGGAAAGGAGGGCTTGGGGTCAAAATAAGGGAGCTGTAATTGTAAGGGGAATATAAAAATAAAATTTAAATAATAAAAAATAAAGAAGAAACTAAAATAAATAAATAAATAAACTATATTTGCATATGTTTTGCAAGGCTTAGACATTTTCATGCATAAATTATGAGTGGGGAAAAAATATGCTTAAGAAAGAGAATGACTGGAAGAGAACAGAATGATAAGTAGAAAATGTAAGCTTACTCATTTATCTTCAACACTAGGAGGAAGCAACAGCTTTTAAATTTATACTGGAACCCCTCTTGAACCAGAATTATAATGTAAAAAAATATTGTCAAAGGGGTGAGTGTATTGAGAAAACTGTAGTTGGTTAAAGCACTGTTCTCAATTAACCATAAGATTAGATTTGATGAAACAAGTCCTGACATGTAATTTTTCTGGAGTTCATCAATACCTTTAACCTGAATTCCAAGCTTTTTGAGGGCCTCCTCTACAGACTGGCTTTCTCGTTTTCTCATAAAGCCATTATCAATGTGCACAGCAATGACCTGGTCTTGGTTCAAAGCACGATTCAGCAAAGCTGTACAAACTGTTGAGTCTACACCACCACTGAGTAAAACCTATAGGGAAATAAAATATCAAACTGAGTAAAATAAGCAAAAAGAAAATAAAAACTATGAGACTGCTACCACTCTGTATCTAAAGCATAACTGAAAAACCACTCCAAAACAATGCCAACTCAGAAAGGAGGCAGCATTTGAGAACAGTGTGAGGAAGCCAGGTCTGAGTTTCAACACTGACATAAATGTATAGACTTTCAGATATAAATTGCTTACCAAAACTTTTGAAGTGCCTACTCTCTCTTTGATCTCCCGAATACACTCAAGTTCTCTGTTCTGAACAGTGAAAGTTCCACTACACCCAGCGATATCATAGAGGAAATTCTTCAGTATTACTTTCCCATTTTCTGTAAGGCCAACTTCAGGGTGGAACTGGGCTCCATATAATTTTTTAGATTCATTTGCTATTCCTTTACAGAGAAAATAATAACAAATAAAAATTTTTATGTTGCAATGACTCAACCAATACCCACAATAACCTTTCACAATTTCTTCCTCTGTAAATGTAACATTGATACTATAGGAAAAAATACATAATAAAAACTACACTGCCATGATCTTTCTTTATAAAGATCATTTTTATGTAGCAATTAATAAGCCATATGACAGCAAAAAAAAGACCTATAGAGATTATTTCACAGTAGCATACTGCTATTCCACCCAGGTTATTTTAATTGAATTTGTCTATTTAATGCAATTATAACTTAATTGTGGTTGTGAAAATATAACTGGTGTTATAAGTCTAAAAAAACCTAGGATGGACATTTTAAAAATACTTCAAGCAAGCTAGTAACTTCTAGCTATCACTTTTAATATTAAATTCCCTTTATAAATTAATCATTGTTTTTATGACATTGACAGCACCTTTAAGAAATAAGAAAAATCAAAAATATGTCAGAGAAACATATGCTTAAATTCCAATACAAATTTTAAACTGAAATCTGTGAAAGTTTCAGAATTTTCACCTGCCACAATGTTCCCAGAACGTGCCACAATCTTGAATCCATCAGCTACTTTGTCTACACTATCTCCGTGGGTAAGTAAAACGATTTCTTCCTTCTGAAGGCCCCTAAATATATAATAATACACAAACACAAATATATTAAAGACATGATTAATGTTTCCTTTTACTTTTTTCCATCTTTGACATACAGGACATACTACATTGTGTTAAAGTATACAATATGATGACTTAATAGACATATATAGTGAAATTGCCATAAGTTGGTCAGTTCATCCATCACACAAATGTACACTAGCTCCTCAGAATTTATCCTTCTTATAACTAGAAGTCTATTTTTTTTTTTGCTTTAGAAATACTAGCTAGCGGGCCTCCCTGGTGGCGCAGCGGTTGAGCGCTGGGTTGCGAAGCTGCCCGCGGCCTCTGTGGCGCCGGTTCGATCCCCGGCTGCTTCCTGGCCACCGGAGGAGGGTCCCACATGGCGCGCAGACCTCTCCTGCCGCCCGCTGCTCCCCTCAGCAGTGTACTTCGGTCCTTCTGCCTGCTCTGCTCCCCACTCTGGCTCTGGTGAATTCTCTCACCCTCCCGCGCTTCTGACTGTACCCAGTGCATGTATAAACAAAACAAACAAACAAATAAAATAAATAAATAAAGCATGCCTCTATTAAAAAAAAAAAAAAAAAAGAAATAGTAGCTAGCTATGGGCCTCATTGGTGGCTCAAGGGGTTAAGCACCGCACTACGAAGCAATCCACAGCCTCTGCAGCACGAGTTCGATCCCCAGCCATCCAGGGAGAAACCCACATGGCGAGGCAGACCTCTCCTGTCTCACCCTCTGCTCCCCTCCAGCAGTGTATTTCAGTCAGTCTGCCTGTTCTGTTCCCCATTCTGTCTCTGTTGAATCCTCTCATCACACCCCACCCCCACCTACATCTTTGGCCTGTAGCCCAGCTCTTGTATGCATGAATAAATAAAAATCCTAAAAAAAAAAAAAAAAAGTCTTTTGCAATATTTACATTCCACCAGCAAGATTCCTGAAGCTATTCTCATGACTAGTCACTAGAGGAAAAGAATTAATGTAAGCAACACCTCTCAGTTATGAAGTAGAACAAGCATTTGACTTCAAATATACTTTGGCAATGAGTAGCTAAGTCTGTAAAATTATTTTGAGCTGTAAAACCTAAATTTTAAAATTAATTTTCATTTGAAAAGTGAGAATTTGGATACTGATAAACTTATTTTTTGCTTTTCCTCAATATTAAATAGCTAGCCACAGTTTTATGTAAAAATTAAGATAAAAATCATCTCATTTTTGAATTTCTGATTTGTCTGATTTGGAGTAAATCATTAAGAATTAATCTAGGCACAATTCAACAGACTTTAAGAATAAATCATAATAATCCTGGGCCTCCCCAGTGGCGCAGCGGTTGAGCGCTGGGCTGCGAAGCTGCCCACAGCCTCTGCAGCGCCGGTTCGATCCCCGGCTGCTGGCGAGGGTCCCACATGGTGCGCCCGCTGCCTCCCTCAGCAGTGTGCTTCGTCAGTCTGCCTGCTCTGCACCCCGTTCTGGCTCTGGTGAATTCTCTCACCCTCCCGCGCTTCTGACTGTACCCAGTGCTTGTATAAATAAATAAAATCTTCAAAAAAAAAAAACAATAAATCATAATAACCCTATTAAAAATAATCAGCATAGTTAAAAGAAATAATAAAAAGTTAACTATGGGGCCTCCCTGCTGGTGCAGTAAAGTCTCAGTGTTATCAAGCTACCGCAAACCACTGCTACCTGAGTTCTATCCCCAGCCAGGGAGCTGACCCACATTGTGCAGCAGACCTCTCCTGTCTCACCAGCTGCTCCCCTCAACATTGTATTTCAGACAATCACCTGTTCTGCTCCCCACTCTGTCTCTGGTGAACCCTCTCACCCCCACACCTCTGGCCTACACCCCAGTTCCTATATGCATAAATTAAGTAAATCTTAAAAAAGTTAACTATGTGTGCTCATTAATTGATACCATCCTACATGCAGCTGTGGAATATGTGGTTTTAAAATAAAATAGATTTAGGCTAAAAAAAGTAACCCTACTAAACAGTCCACCCAAAGGAGTATCATAAAAAAGAGAAATAGTCAAAAAACAGAAAGCAAGTAACTGAAATGTAAATTTTCTGGTCTTTCAGAAAACTGGATGAAAAAGTTCAGCAATTTTTTTTAATAGTAAAACAAGATAAATGATTTTAGAATGCTAATAAATAATTTATTCATCAATAAATTGTTAATAAATTGTTTAGATTAGGGGGGCCTCTCTGGTGGCGCAAGGGGTTAAGCACCACACTTTGAAGCAATCTGCAGCCTCTGCAGCATGAATTTGATCCCCTGCCAGCCAGGGAGCAACCCACATGGCACAGCAGACCTCTCCTGACTCGCTCGCTGCTCCCCTCAGCAGTGTACTTCAGTTGATCTGCCTGTTCTGTTCCCCATTCTGTCTCTGGTGAATCCTCTCACCCCCCACACCTCTGGCCTGTACCCCAGTTCTTGCATACATAAATGAATAAATTAAAGAAAAAAAAGAATGTGGTGAGGGAAGAGGAACACACATGCATGTAGGGATGTGAGACAGTTTTAAACATATCTGCCATATCCAGCACAGTCATGTTTAAAATCACACTCCATCAGAATAAAAAGAGAAAACTGAAATACTGGCAGTACAATGTATAATACTGCAGAGGGGTCCAAGAAAAGAATTCCAGTCATTAATGATAAATTAATTTATTATTCTTATTCATGTAAAAATATAGTACCTGAATAATGAGCATGAGTTATCCACAGTAATACTGAAGACTCCATCTTCTCTAACACTTTTTTTGTGCACAGTTCCTCCAAATACCTTATTCATCATCTGTTCAGAGTAAATAAACTGACATTAATACAAATTAAGAAAAAATTACCCAGCCATTTTTTAAAGTTAATTTAATAATTTATATTCCTTGTTTTCAAGATGTTATGCTATGTCCAAAAATTAGAGGAGTTTGACAAATGTGGATAACTTGATATTATATATAATTACACAGTTATTAAGAGGCAAGGTTATCAAACAAAACTAAATTAGAAACTTAACCTGAGGTTAATTTCTGTTAAAACACTGGCAGATTTTCCATTTAGAGTATTTTAATTAATTCAACTGTTAAAAAGAGAGATTTCTAAAAAAAAAAAAAAAAAGAGATTTCTAATACTTACACCTGAATTTAATTTAAAACCATTTTAAAAGATACTCGAAGCTTAGAAAAAAGCTACAGTAGACAATAAGAAGTGCTGTAGCATTAGAACTAGACAGGTATAAATTCCTCCAAGCTGTTTAATCTCTGGCCCCAAAGGCACAATCTGAAAGTCTACAGAAGGTTGTGCTGTGAAAATGGGATAAGCAAGAAAATCTAGCCTTTCAATTAAGCTCACCCAGGCAAATCCCATATAGACTCTTATTTCAAAAAATGGGTCTCTTCATTCTTCATTGAGTGTTAATCTTTTCTTCCTTATCAGTTACATATGGCCAAACCACACCACCAACACCAAGTAAATACACACAAGACTTTTACAAACATTAACCCTTTGCACTCCAAGCTGTCCCCTCTCAGGGGACATTGGTAGCCAATGTCCAGAATGGTTCGGAGTGCAAAGGGTTAAGTCTTCACCAATAAAATCACCCCAGTGGCTGATCCATAATCGGTGTCTGCCCTAACAATGTACCAGGCAGGCCCCAAAAGAAAAACAGGAAGACGAGTGAACACATGTTCCTTCTCATGACAGAGAAACATAACCTTCAAAGCCATTAGCAAAAGCTGCCTTCTGCTTCTCCCTAAACATTCACGGTAAGACTTCCTGCAATAAAAGTCTGGGTCAAATGTAGTAAAGGAACTTGCTAACCAGTTTACTCATTTCTCAACCTGAACACTCAGATATGAAATAACCTGCAGCACACTAACTGACTTGAGTTTATAACCAACACTGCAGGCTGCTCAGTTCCTTTGCTCTAGTTTTACCCACACCCCACCCATGATCCAGACAGCCAACAAGATTAGCTATATAAACGTGTGTTCATCCATGATTAAATTCACTGTTGTCTATGATATGCAAGGGTTGGTAAACTTTCTCTGTAAAAAGGGTATGTCTTTTAGCCTTAGAAAAGCCAGAGAGTATATTTTTTAGTATATCTAAGTATAGTATATCTTTTGGTATCTGCAGACACTACTGTCTCTGGAGCAAGTATTCACTTCTTGCCATTGTAAAACAAAAGCACTGATGGTTAGCACTTAAAAGAAACAGATGCAGCCATGTTCCAATACAACTTTATTTATGGACATTGAAATTTGAATTCATTTACTTTTCCTATGGCAGAGAATATAATTTTTTTTCAATTTTTTGCCAACCACTTTATATAAAAACCATAGTCTGCCCATTGTACAAAAACAGGCAGTGGTTCAGATTTGTTCAACAGACCAGTTTGCTGACCTCTTGTCCATACATGTATAAAGACGTATCACACGGCCCCTGTTTTGTTTTTGGCTTCAATTCTCATCTCCCCTCATTTTCTACTCCAGCTATGGAAGCTTAGTGCTATTACCAAAACAGACCATCAGACCATGTTTTATGTTTTCCCAACGTCTTCAGCTCTCTTCACAGTCCCAGAGGTCCAGAGTGGCCACTCAAATTTGTTGAATGAAGAATGAATTTTCTTCTATTTTCTCACTGAGCCTTGTGCATCTCTACCTCCCCTAACTTGTAGTTCCTAATTAGGAGAATGGCAATGATCACATAACCAAAGCTGTTGGAACAATTTGGAAGTCCAAAGTCTAAATGAAATACTATTACAAAGCTAAGAGCTAGCAGTAAAATTAAAGACTTTCTCACCTGTTCAGAAGGCTTTCATGCTTACTTTTGGTTTCTGATTATGCCACTTATGTTTGAAAGTACAAAGAGTTAACCTGCTTAGTGTAAGCTTAGGGGAGAAGGGGCTAACTCTACACATAACAAAAACAAGTTACTTCTTAAATTTTTGTTTTTAATAGCCTATGAATATTGAAATAGTTTTCAATGTGAATTCCTGATAACTCAAAGGTCCTCCTCAAAGAATACCCTGTAATACTCTAAGTCTATCCCTCCCACCCCCACCCCCGCAATCAGATTGGATTCTCTCATCTGTCTCAAATGCCAAGATTTTACAATATGGTATAGATTTGGGAGCAAGAAAGGGAAGGAAATTCTGGCAATAAAACTCTTTAATAAAATCTATGGGAATATATAAAGAAATCAAAGCTTATACTAAAGATCTTATTAGAACTCTAGAAGGGAAAAAGAAACCAAATAAAATTATAAAGAATAAAAAGTCACACTCTAAAGACATCAAGATATTGTAATAGGCAAAAGCTCAGTGGCCAGCAAACAATTTTTAAGACAATTCAATAAAAAATGGACAAAAATCATGAGCAAACTTTTACAGTGAAACAGTGAAATAGCAAATAAACACAGAAATCTTCCAATAACAAGGAAAATGAATACTCAACAACGAGATCCCACTTAACACTTTCTCACCAGAAAAGCAAAACAAAACAAAATCTGACCATATTAAGACTTGGCAGGAAATAAAGCAGAACATACTGCTGTGGGAATAGAAATTGGGAGGAGATAGCTTTTACCTACAATGCTGAGACTCAGCATTTCAACTCATGGTTACCCTAGAGAAAAGTCCACGTGTGTACAGTATCAGAAGTATAAAAATATTCATGGTAGTACTATAACAGCAAAAAGCTGGAAAAAGACCAGCAACATTAGCAGTGGAATATGTACTTTGTGATATATTCAAGTAAATTCAATAGTAAAAGTGAGTAACTTACTATCTAATATATTAATATATATGAATCTCGAAACCAAAGTTGAAAACACACAGTATAATTTCACTCATATCAAGGCCAATGAACAAAAGTAAATTAAGGATATAAACATATATAAATCTATAAAGAAAAGAAAGGAATAAGAAAATCCAGGAGAAAAGCTACCTTTGGTTGAAAGGAGAAGAATACATAGGAAGAAAACAGAAAGGGAGTTTCAAAAGTTCTGCTAATGGGCCTCCCTGGTGGCACAAGGCATTAAGACACAACATATGAAGCTCTCTGCAGCCTCTGCAGATCTACCCACATGGCGCAGCAGACCTTTCCTGTCTCCCCTCCTCCCCTCAGCAGTGTATTTCAGTCAGTCTGCCTGTTCTGTTCCCCACTCTGTCTCTGGTGAATCCTCTCACCCCCACACCTCTGGCCTGAACCCCAGTTCTTGTTTACATAAATAAATAAATCTTAAAAAAAAAAAGTTCTGCTAATATTCTATTTTTCACACTGGGGAAAGGGGAGTGGTAAGTCAGTAACAGAAATAAAGGTAACGATGAGCAGCACAAACTTTTTCTTCAAAGGCAAAGAATTACCAGGAAAATAATTAGAAAAACTCTGACAAGAGAACCCAGCTAGTATTTAAGACCTTGAAATTATTAAAATTCCAGGGTAGTAACAGGAGAGGAGGTGCACACCAGAGACGGTCCATGCTAACATTACCCACCAATAGTCTCTAGAAGTGGCAGTCCTTTACAACATATAGGTTAGATGTTATCTCTATCAATATTTTCTGAAAAAAATCTGATTTCTTCCCAAAGGACCAAGATCACCCTAATCTATCATGTGACTATTAAAGTTCAGATGATATACAGGCAAATTTTTTTTGCACACATTTACAGTGAGCACAAATGGTTCTGGCTGCCTTAACACCATCCCTATCAAATGACAGAAAAATGTAGCCTTATTAGAGTTATATAGGGGTTTGACAAAATGGTAGACAACAGTCAGTCACTATCACTTAAAGAAGCATCTCCCAGACTATTTTACTATAATTGTACCCTAAAAACATATCTTATGAAACTCTTCCTTACAAAATGTTGTTATAATCCCTCAAGATACTAAGGACTGTTTAACTTAATTATAAGTAGTGCTGTATGATTAATATTGACTATTCTGGCAAGGGAGATCAATAAATTATGTAAATATATTACATCTTGGCAAAGTACATATATTTAAAAAATCAATTTCCAATGTTCAAGTCAATTGGAATGCATACTCTTCTAAGAAAATATGTTCAGTAGGACACTAAATAGGAAATTCTAAAAATAAGTTACCATCTAAATCCAATTCATAATCACCATTTGAATTTTCAGAGAACATTAACAGGGGAAAAGAGCCTTTTACTGTAAAGTGTTTATTGCCTAGAGAAGTAAATATCCATTATTGTAGATATTGGCCCTTGTACTTTACATATTTATAGTAATCAGTATTTCCTCTAAATCAAAGTGGAAAACCATAAAACAATTAAAAACAAAATCTGGTAAAGCTATATTACAGAGCACTAATTTCTAATATTCTGACCTCGTATCAAGGACAGAATAAAATATTCTTATGTGAACACTGATTTGTATTTACTTCCTTCACTGAAAGCACCTACGTCAGCTAGAAGAAAACAAGTCGGTTTGTTCAATTTCTACCTTTGAAAGAGCTTCCCTCTGTGCAAGATTCACATTAAAGTACAAGTTTCAATCAGAATATTATTGAAAAAACTCACTATCTTCCACAACTACTAGCATTTGAAATTATTCTCAATCCACAGACTGAAACAACTCAGTCATCAGGAGAATACAACGTCTTTATTATTAGCCATTCCACAAGAAATTGAAAATTAACAGGTAATTCTTTATTAATTAGGAAACATCAGAATATCATGTGGAAACTGAAAAGCTGATATTTTAATTAACACCAATTCCATTTTGGCCAATTAGGATCTCACGAAAAGATTAATTCCACGTGGGGCGAGGAGTTAATTCCACTTGTATTCTGACCCTGTCTTCCCTTCCAATAAAGCCAAAAGTGAAAAAAAGGGAAGCAATCAAGACAATTCATGAACAAGTAAATCTATAGTTACTGTATTTGGCTACTTTCATCACAGCAGAAAATTCTCAGTTTGAAAGTGTTTAGGGGGAAGTGGGTAAAAAACATAATTTGAGGGGTGTAGGGCAGGAATGGGCCAGTGCAGGTTTTCTGATCCAGCAGACCAGGTAAAGGAGGTGGTCTGGAGCCCTCAGTGGCTTTTGCAGGTTTTTATTGGGGTTTACCCGGTACACAGCAGGCAAGGGTGCTGGCGGGCCGGGAGGCTGGCAGGTCTCCCAGCCCCCAGCAAGTCTTCACTCTATCTGGGCTCTCCAGCGTTCTCTGCTTCTCTCTCAGCTTCTGCTACTTCTTTCTCGGCTTCTCTTTCGGCTTCTGCTGGTGTCCCCGTGACGCCTCCCTTAAAAGCCCAGTCTCAGCTCAGGTGAATCCCATCTACCTATGCCCACACCCTACTCCAGGTGCCCGCCATCAGGCATGCATTCAGGACTGCAAGGATCCATCATCTATCCTGATGGCGGGAGGGCAGAAAAGCCTGACATTTTTACCTTACCCTGCAAGAGGCCTCCCTAGTGGACCAAGGGTTATGTCTTAGCACTATGAAGCTATCGGCAGCCTCTGCAGCACTAATTCAATCCCCAGCCTGGGAACTAACCCACGTGGCGAAGCGGACCTCTCCTGTCTCCCCAGCTGCTCCCCTCAGCAGTGTATTTCAGTCAGTCTGCCTGTTCTGTTCCCCACTCTGTCTCTGGTGGATCCTCTCACCACCAGCACCTCTGGCCTGTACCCTAGTTCTTGTATGCATAAATAAATAAATCTTTAAAAAAAATTTTAAAAATAAAGTAAGCAAGAAAGGTACCACAGCAGCCTAAAGACATTTCTAAACACTTAACTCACAGAAGAATATCTCTTGATATTCTTATATTCAAGATCTCAACTAGCTCTTGCTTTTGATCAACTCCAAGGCATATATACTTAATAACATTACATTAGACCAAAGCTAATGAATGACATTTGGTCACAGCACAAACTGACACCAAGGGTCCCCTAATGAGATGCCCTAAGCTCCGCATCACTTCTACAGTAACCTGCCAAAAATACAAAACATGACTAACAATGAGGAAACAAACAAACCAAAATTGAGGGATATTCTACAAAGTACCTGAAGGTACTTTTCCTTAAAACTATGAAGGCGATGAAAGAGAAGAAATGGTTCCAAACTAAAGGATACTCAAGAGACATGGTAACTAAACACAACACACAGTCCTTGATTGGATCCAGAATTCTTAAGGGACATTAATGAGACAAACAGTAAAATGTGAGACTTGAATCTCTGGATTAGATGCTAACTAAATGTTAATGTCCTAATTTTTTGATAGTTTACTGTGCTTATGTGGGACACTGGCATAGTACTTCGGGACTACAAAAAGTAACACATCTGCAACTTATTTAAATGGTTAAAATTGGGGTATTGGGTAAAAGTATATAGGAGTTCTGTGTACTATTCTGCAATTCTGATGTAAATCTGAATATCTAAGTTTATTTTTTTAATAGATAGTATTTTGTTGTATGCATTAATATAGTTTACTTTTCTAACAACAGATTCCCACTCAGGTCAGCTCTGTCATATTAGTACAACTCAAGCTGTAATATGCACAAATTATCTCATCCAACTAACTGAATACCCTAAATACTCTAGAGACAGAGAATACTAATACAGGAGTCACAAACAGAATAAAATTAAGTTAACTCTTAGAACAAATTCACAGATGTACCTGCATGCCATAGCAAATTCCAAGAACAGGTTTGCCAATAGTGAATATTGCTGGATCAAACCAGGGAGCATCTTCTGCATACACAGAATTAGGTCCTCCAGAGATGATAATAGCACTGTGGATTTAAAGGGAAAGAGTTGATGAATCACTGCTGATTTGTATATAGTCTTTGCTCTCCTTCCCTTTTACCAGTGAGGGGAATTCAATATAAATTCAGACATTTTTGTTATACTTTTGATACAACGTAGCAAATACAGATCCTCTCACAGCTAATTAATATCCTACAACAGCTTCATTATTTGTACTCTATTACAATGTCTGAAGACTATCAATTCAACACTCATTAAAATAACAAATTTTAAATATAAATACCAAAGTCTCTATTCTTGAAGGTTAATGTGAATCTGTTTTGACTGTTTTCCTAATTGATGGAAGAAGTAAAGGAGAATTCTAAAGGGAGATGGAGAATGGAGAAAATATAAGACAAGAAGTAAACCATGTTACAAGAGGACAAGGGCAGGTATATCATATATATACCTGGTCCTGGGTGACTCAGAGCAAATTACAGCAAAAATGGCAGTATGTGAAGAGTTACCTAACTTTGCCTGTTTTCCCGTCCCACAAATTCTCAACAATCTTACCTGAGACCCAGGAAAAGGAGTTAAAATCTCTTTTGACCCAATATCATAATCTGACTTCATTACCATTTACAGATCATTCTATGAGTTAAGTTGGAAATCAAACTGTTATTATAAAGAAAGCTGCAAACTGTGACACATGTTCCCCAACTGGCCACTAATATGTCTAATTTGGCACTCATCATTCACTCAAAAAAGTTTAAAGCATTTTAATATTACAAATTTTATACTCAAATTCAGATTTCTGGACTCTCTAAAGGGGAAAAAAAATTGGCAATACTGGGCCTTTCCTCTCACATGGTACAAATAACTGGAACTACAAAAATACTCACACCTTCATGTACTCATGGTTCTCCCATCTGGCACACATGCCCATTTATGCAACACAGGCACAATTTATGCAGTTTATTCAAGGTAGCCTCTAGTTTCACTTTAAGTTAGAGTTTGCAGGAATCCCAATTTATCTGTATTTCTAAAGGATAATACTATATTCCAAGATATAGCCAAAACATATTCGCACAATTGGCTACAATTCACTTTATAGTGGTTGTCTGCCGTGAGTAACATTCAAACTAAAAATGCTAGGCTTATAACACATGCAGAATAATATATCAAAACTCAAGTTCATAAGAATTACTCAGCAACCTAGGGCATTTTAAAAATATGTAATAATAAGTTAAGAGAGCTCAAAGGCCCCACTCTTTGAATTTTGTATTTTAACAAGAATTATGACATACATTATGTTTTTTACCCTATCTCCTATCAGACTAAAGACAACCTACTCTAATGACAAATGTGACATCTTTAAAATAGTAATTCTAAAGGTGTGTGGGGTTGACCCTAAAGAGCAGATACGTAATCTAGCTCCTTAAAAATGCAGAAGTTTGCCACAATAAAATATATAGAAAACACTGGTGACTAGTTCCATGACATCAACAATAAAGATGTTTTTGGAGGGCCTCCCTGGTGGTGCAGGGGTTAAAGTCTCAGCACTGTCAAGCTACCACCAGCCTTTGCAGCCCTAACCCACATGGCAGGAGCTAACTAACCCACATGGCACAGCAGACCTCTCCTGTCTAGCCCACTGCTCCCCTCAGTAGTATATTTCAGTAGATCCACCTGTCCTGCTTCCCACTGTGTTTCTGATGAATCCTCTCCTCCCACCCCTACACCTCTGGCCTACATCCCAGCTCTTGTATGCATAAATACATCTTTTACCAAAAAATCACAATGAGATACCATCTTACAGCCATGAGAATGACATTTATTAAAATGACTCCCAGCAAGTGTTGAAGAGAATGCCAAGAAAGAGGAAGAACCCTATTTATTACACTGTTGGTGGGAAAATAAACTGGTACACCCATATGGAAAGCATTCTGGATTTACCTTAAAAAACTAAAACTGAAAATACGCTATGACCTAGCAATCCAAATCTTTGGTATCTATCCAAAAAAACCATCAACACAAAAAACTATATGCTCTACAATGATAATTGCAGCACTATGTGTCCTAGCACAAAAGCTAGGACATAGAAGTATGTCCATCATGCTTAGATCAAGAATGTAGTATATTCACACTACAGAATACTATTGAGTCATAAGGAAAATTGAAATGCAAACATTTACAGCAAAATGGAGGGAGTTTGAAGGAATTATGTGTGTGTGTGTATGTATTTTAAAGATTTACTTATTTATGCATTCAAGAGCTGGGTGCAGGCCAGAAGCACGGGGGAGTGGGCGGGGGGCAGTTGAGAGGTTTTACCAGAGACAGAGTGGTACACGCAGAACAGGCAGATTGACTGCAAATACACTGCTGAGGGGAGCAGCAGGCAAGACAGGAGAGGTCTGCTGCACCATGTGGGTTACCTCCCTGGCCAGGCCAGGGCTCTAACTCATGCTGCAATGGCTGCTGATAGCTTCATAGTGCTGAGATTTAACCCCCTGCGCCACCAGGGAGGCCCCAGAATTAAATATATCAAAACAAGTCAGAATCACACACACACATACACACACACACACACACACACACACAAAACTGGACATTTACATAACAATTTGACAAAGTAAAATACTTATAAAATTAGCAGACATTGACAAATACCATAAGAGCTCTGAGGTGGGAGGAGAGAAAAAAGTAAATGGCGGTATAGTATAGGGAAGGTGGTGGGGAAAAAGATACAAAAATGAAAAAATGAAAAAATACAGAAGCTAAGTAATTTTAGAACACTGCCTAACAACTCTGACTCACTAAAGAAACACCTTAGGGAGTAGGAAAAGAAGAAGCTGAATTCTTTACAATAATCTGAATCAAAAGTTACCAATAAAATCTTCATAGCAAGTTTTAAAAATGCAGAAACTAAAATTCTATAAAACACTCTTAATAATCAAGACCCCTAGAATTCCAGCATATATTTCATTTTATAAAGGATAATCACCAAGAGGCTACCCAGCATCTGTCATTAATCTGTTAAATTCTGGGCCATAAGATTCTTTTTTTTTTTTTTTCCTTTTTAAGATTTATTTATTTATTTACTTATACAAGCACTGGGTATAGTCAGAAGCGCAGGAGGGTGAGAGAATTCACCAGAGCCAGAGCAGGGAGCAGAGCAGGCAGAAGGACCAAAGTACACTGCTGAGGGGAGCAGCTGGAGAGGTCTGCGCGCCATGCGGGACCCTCCTCCGGTGGCCACGTAGCAGCAGGGATCGAACCGGCGCTGCAGAGGCCGCGGGCAGCTTCGCAACCCAGCGCTCAACCGCTGCGCCACCGGGGAGGCCCGCCATAAGATTCTTAATGCAATTAAAAGTAAAGGCTATGGGCTTGGGCCTCCCTGGTGGCGCAGCGGTTGAGCACTGGGTTGCAAAGCTGCCTGCAGCCTCTGCAGCGCTGGTTCAATCCCTGGCCACCCGCAAGGGTCCCACATGGCGTGCAGACCTCTCCTGCCTCCCGCTGCTCCCCTCAGTAGTGTACTTCGTCAGTCTGCCTGCTCTGCTCTCCCCTCTGGCTCTGGTGAATTCTCTCACCTTCCCGCACTTCTGACTGTACCCAGTGCTTGTATAAATAAATAAATAAATTTTTAAAAAAAGGCAATGGGCTTATTCAAGGATAAAACTTAAGTAGTACTTAACAATCAATTACAAAAATTCTTATCTAATACATCTTGATAAAAGCTAAATCATTCCAAGGTTTGTTTCCACCCTGCTATCACTTTGAAACTAACTTGCAATTACAAGACTTAATAAGCCCTAAGTCATTCCAGATACCAATCTTATATATCAGGCAGATCAAGGTTCTAAAAATTGGTAGGTTAAGATGTCCCTTATGTCATAAAACAAATATTTATTCTAGAAAAGGGGCCAAATCTCTCACTCAAAAGGAAGGATTAGAATAAAAGTCCATGCTACAGTTTCTGTTTTTCACAGAGAAGAATATTGGGGCACAAGCAAAACCAAATAACTGTTATGTATGACCAGATGATAAGAAAAACAATCGCTTATAATTCTGTTGCCAAGTATTTGGTTTCTCTACATTGAGTCTGGGTTAGTTTGCTAGGGGATTTGTTTTTTTAGGTAGGGGAAATGATTGGGCCTGGTTTCGACAGAGGGTCATTTCGATTTCTCATAGTATTTTCATTTCTCTAAAACTGGTTCTTGCTGGCAAATCAAGAGTTGAATTAGATAGACCTCAAAGTCCTTTTTACTCTAAAATTTAATACTTCAGCTTAAAAGGACAGCTGTCTGAGGCATCCTGGAGGAAGGAGAGGGGAGAAAACAGGGAGGGGGGAGGACCCAAGGCCTATGATGGAGGATTAAGGATGCTTTGGTGAGGGGAAAAACAGGATGACCGCACCTGAGGGAGAAATCCCATGCTATGAAAAAATTAACAAGGTTGTAATGGTACTTCACTGAAATATATACATTAATCTAAAGGTAACTGTTTTTAATCTGTGTCCTAAGATTAAAATAGAGTTAAATTTAAACCTGCCTTTCCTGACATTCAATTCACTCTAACTTCAGAAACAAAAATCACAGGATATGGGCCTCCCCTGGTGGCACAGCGGTTGAGCGCTGGGTTGCCTCTGCAGCGCAGGTTCGATTCCAGGCCACCGGCGAGGGTCCCACACACACACACACAAAAAAAAAAAAAAAATCACAGGATAATGTATATATGTCTATAAAGTCTTTTAACGTTAATAAGCATTTTCCCAATGGAAAATTGTTTTTAGGAAAAATTAAACACATTTTGGAAAAAACATACATTAGAGCTTAAGAGCTAGATGCCTGCTCCTGAAGAACATTATTAATAAACATTAATTCCAAAAAAAAAAAAAAAAAGGATAGTGGGCCTCCCTGGTGTTGCAAGGGTTAAAGTCTCAGGGCTATTAAGCTACGGCCAGCTACTGTGGCATGAGTTCAATCCCCAGCTAGGGAGCTAACCCACATGGTGCAGCAGACCTCTCCAGTCTCACCGGCATCTCCCCTAAGCAGTATATTTCAGACACTCACCTGTTTGGCTCCCCATTCTGTCTCTGATAAATCCTCTCACTCCCCACACCTCTGGCTTACACCCCAGCTCTTATTTGCATAAATAAATAAATCATTAAAAAAAAATAGTATAGCTTTAACCCAAAATAGTTGTTAAAGAAACTATATGTAAGTTAACTGCTGTTTTGGATTAATTCCAAGAATACAAACTGAGTAATTAGCCTTCAGATTCAACTTATGAAATCTTTACATTTTAGAATCTAGTGTCTGTCTTGGGATAGGAAGCAAGACTCACTGTACTCAATTCTTCTCCTTTTGGTATTCTAGCCACCATATATATTCCTATGATTAAATACCCCAGGATGAATAGGATGCATAATAGCCAAATCTAATGCTGACTTAGAAATCCTATAAGAAATAAAATATTCAAAAGATAAATTCTATAGCTGTGCAATTAAAATTAAAGTAATATTCTAAACTGAGAAAAGTAAATGTTCCCTTTAATTATTTTTTAAATCAATGTCACAGGAAATTCCTTGTAAAACTATTCATGCTTCTCTTTCATAAAAAATTCAGTGCCCAAGCAAATTAATAATAAACTATCCCCGTATCTAAGTTCAATCTCCTCAGAAACATATAAGTGAAAAGCATACCGGAATCCTTGCTCTTTGATGGCAAATGCTGGTGTTTCCAGTGGGAAGATTTCAGACTGCACGAACAGTTCCCTCACTCTCCGGTCTATGACTTTCCCATACTGGGCACCAGCGTCCAGAATAACAACAGCTCCTTCATAGTGGTGGCGGCCATCCTTGAGATCTCCTCCAGCATTCTCCAGCTGCAAGTATTAATATAAGTGTCTTCTTAATTATGAAAGAGAGCTACTACCTTAAAAAACAGTAGGTCACTATCAATACCAAAAACCCAGAGCAATGAAAACAGTTCAGGATTCTGAATTGCCAATTCAAGAGACTTCTTTTACCAGGAAGATTTAGATATCTATAAGCACTTTAATTAAAGCACCATAAACTGACTACATGACAATTAGTCTATGCATAGTGCAACTTACAAATATTTTCTAAAAGCAAGGTGAACACATAACCCAGTTGTACAAAATACAGGCCTGGTTTATAGATGTTATAGAGCCATTAATATTAGCGGTGCCTCCTTTGAATCTCAAGTGTCCCAGATTGGACAAGAAATTGAAGGTCTCCCCACCAAATAGTCACAGCTTTCCTATGGGAATACAATAGTAAAGAACTGACAATTTGTTGCCAAAAGGTAAGCATGTCTCAAGGTACTTTATTAGAATTTCAATACTACCTGAGGAAAATTATAAACATACACATAGTACATAACACTAAAAAATTATTTATAAAAGAATTCCATAAAAAACATAATTAGAATTACACTGTCTTGCAACCTCTAATAAAACAACGATCTAAGTTACTGGTGCACAATAACTAGTCCGGTTTGCGGAGCTAGTCTACACACCAGAGCTAGTCCACAAACCATTACCAATTCATGTAAGTACATAAACATTCTGTAAGCATTCATAAACAACAGAAAAATTTTATTTCCACTAAATCTACAATACAAATATGGGGTTTTTATTTTTATATGACTTGATTTTTATACTTAATTTGTCTAATAATGTTCTGCATTTTACAGAAAAGTAATCATCAGTGTATTGAAATTTCTTTTTAAAACTTGCTTTTTGGCTGCAGCTCTGCGAGAAGTACAGAATTAAGTATTGGCTATTGAAATCATAAAGTGAAAGATTGATAACAAACTTGATAATTGATGGGTAAGTTGGCAACACCAGAATCAACCAATTAATCTTACATACAAAAATAGAGACCAGGCACAGGTTAACACCTATTGTGATACACTGAGTAAACATCTATAAACAAAGACTGACCACATTTACAACCACTAAGCTGCCTGATGGGGACATGATGCCCTTTGATCCCCTTGTGCACATTTATAGGTTTTTAATTTTCCATATTACATCATTGGTTTTAATTTTTCACTATTCTCCAAATCCATGTCTTCTGTCATGTGACCTGCAGTTTGTCTGATTATAGGCAGAATGTATTTCTTCACTCTTGGCAATCATAATAAGACTTGCTTTTGCCAATGGAATAAGGGCAGAGGTGACATCTTAAGCCAGCTTAAAGTTTCCACCTGCCATCATCATGAATACACCATGAACCTACTGCCTCCAGGAAAAGAATGAGAGTAATGGAGTTCAGCAAATTGAACTGACTCACAAACTTGTAAGCAAGAAATTATTCTCATACATCATTACGAAAATGTTTCTAATACCACCGAAAGTGACATTAAAAAAAATACTGGGCCTCCCCGGTGGCGCTGGGTTGAGCGCTGGGTTGCGAAGCTGCCCGCAGCCTCTGCAGCGCCGGTTCAATCCCCGGCTGCTCCCCGGCCACCGGATGAGGTTCCCACATGGCGCGCAGACCTCTCCTGCCGCCCGCTGCTCCCCTCAGCAGTGTACCTCGATCCTTCTGCCTGCTCTGCTCCCCGCTCTGGCTCTGGTGAATTCTCTCAACCTCCCGCACTTCTGACTGTACCCAGTGCTTGTATGAATAAATAAATAAATAAATAAATAAATAATAAAAAAAATAAAATAAATCTTAAAAAAAATACTGAAGCATCCATGGCAGATTCTTTTTTTTTTTTTTAAGAATTATTTATTTATGCACACAAGAGCTGGGGTATAGGACAGATTGGGGCGGGGGTGGGGGGGCTCTGAAAGGATTCATAGAGAGAGTGGGGAGCAGAACAGGCAGAATGACTAAAATACACTGCTTAGGGGAGCAGCGGGTGAGAGGTCTGCTGCACCATGTGGGTTACCTCCCTGGCCAGGGATCAAATTAGTGCTGCAGTGGCTGCCCATAGCTTCACAATGCTGAGACTTAACCCCTTGCACCACCAGGGAGGCCCTCTGTGGCAGATTCTTGACCAAGAAGATACTATGATTTTGTTTTACCTGGCCAATTATAGCAGAAGTAGAAGTATGCAGAGCAACACTGCATGAAATGGCATCATGCTTAGCTCTCTTACCTTTAAGACATAAATTGCACTGATTTTTTTAGCTTTTTAATTTAAGGGGGTAAACTAATGAAGTGATGAAAATCCAAGTAGAAGCACTATTAACTTCTGGAAAACTAGGCCTGGTGAACCCAAGATATGCCCTTCTAGACAGACAAGGTAATATGGTTCAAAGACAAAGTAAAAGACATTTTATCAAAAACCTGAAAATTGCTTTATATGAAAATATTGCTCCAACACAAGGTTTCATCTTTTAAAACCCTAACCTTGTTAATTCCATTCTAATTTTTTTTATTTTAATTAAATTATTTTAATATGTATTTTAATTCCATTCTGATCAGTTTTATTGTCAAGTTATTTTGTAGTTTAAAATTCAGATTTGTAATGAAATAAAAATAGTCCACTTCTACTGGTAAATCTTTTTATATTTACAAATCCTGTTTGCCCACAAACCACATATTGTTTCCATTAAAATACAATTAAACAAGGGCCTCCCTGGTGGCACAAGGGGTTAAGTCCCAGCACTATGAAGCTATCCACAGTCACTGCAGCAGGAGTTCGATCCCCAGCGAGGGAGCTACCGACATGGCACAGCAGACGCCTTCTGTCTCTCCCGCTGCTCCTTTCAGCAGTCTATTTCAGTAGATCTGCCTGCTCTGTTCCCCACTCTGTCTCTGTTGAATCCTCTCACCCCCCACACCTCTGGCCTATACCCCAGCTCTTGTACGCATAAATAAAATAAATCTTTTATATAAAAAAGAGTCCCAAAAATATGACTGCCGAATTGAGGTTACTAGAAGGGCAAGAGTGGGAGCGGCAACAAATAGGCAAGGTGTTCATATGGTCTATGGTAAAGGAATCAGGGTGTTTTGGGGGTGGGTGTGATGTGGTGACACACATGTGAGGAGGTATGAGCCTATTCCTCTAAATAAAATGCAGTGTTATAAAGTCAATGTTACCTCAATAAACAAATGAAAATTGATCAGTCTGTGCACTTCACTACACGTACAATGTAACTCTAATAAAAATAAGCTGAACAAAACAACTATTAGCGACCCTCACTAGATGGACTTACACTTAAATACACTTAAGTGGACTAACCATACATTGAAGGTCCATACTTTCATCCCTAAGAATTCTGATTCAGGTGATATCCACTGGAAGTATACCGATTACCTTTAGAAGAATTACCTTCTCAGCATAATGCTCTAAGTCTTATGTGTTATTTCACCCAATCAGATGGTCCACTAAAATGTTAACTTAGAGTCTCACTCTAAAATCTTACTACATAAAGCTAAGAACTATGTAAAAAGCAATGGTATACCAGGTAGTCCTTCTATGAAACCAGTAACCTGATACCAAAACTAAAGACATCACAAGACTAGAAGCCATTATCTCTTATGAATAAAGACACAAAACTCAAAACTGTTAATAAACCAAACCCATCAATGTATACCTGGTTGCCTTTTGAGTCCCAGCATGGCTTTATTGGGCTCCCTTAAATACATACACTTTTCTCCTGTTAATCTGACTTAGCAATTTAATTGTTAGACAAGCTAAAAATCCTAAAAGGGAAGGTAAAATTTTTCTTCCCCTACAGAAGCATTATGCTATCTATTCTAAGAGTCTAGTCTTAGAAAAAGTCCAAAATGGGCAAATCTAATGAAACAGAAATATATTAGTGGTTGTCTAGGAATGGTAGTAAGAGGCACATGAGGACTGATTGCAAAAGGGTAGGGGGTGATAAAAATCTTCTAAAATTAACTTTGTTGGAAAATTTGTGAATATATTAACCATTGCATTGAACTGTTCAAATGGACATATTTATGATATGTGAATTCTACCTAGTCTATCTCAATAAAGCTCTTATAAAAACAAATATTTTTTAAGAAAAGTAAATGCGGACCTCCGTGGTGGTGCAGAGGTTAAAGTGTCAGCACTATCAAGCTATGGCCAGCCGCTGCAGCAGGAGTTGGATCCCCTGTCTGGGAGCTAAGCACATGCACAGCAGACTCTCCTGTCACCTCTCCTGTTTTGCCCACTGCTAACCTCAGCAGTGTGTTCCAGTAGATCTGCCTGCTCTGCTCACCACTTTGGTGAATCCTCTCACCCCCTGCACCTCTTTCCTACATGCCCATTCTTGTATGCATTAATAAATAAGAATAAATCTTTAAAAAATAATAAGAAAAGTGAATAATAGAAATGGGAGGCATAAATGTTAACCTAAATTTTTTTGTTTGAAATTTTTCATAAAATGAAGGGGGAATTCACAGCATAAAAAAGTTCCACTACTACTAATAACATCAAAGCAAGTACTTCTATTCATCTAAAATTATCCAAATTAGAGTTCAGCTAAAATTTGTCCAAGGAATAATTTTAGAATTCGAAGCCTCATATTCATATTCATAATGAGATTCAAAGGGTTAAGAATTACTAAAACTAGTTCTCCAATTACAAGGTTAGGGTAATTTAAATTTACCTAGCCCTCAGTAGCACTCCCTCTGCCCACCTGTGACTATTCAAGCGCTTTTCACCACCTGTCTCCCTCTGCAGGGCAGCAGCTTCCTTCCTGCCTGTGACCTGTACCTGGCCAGGGCTTCTCTTCACTGACCTCCCTCAGCGGAGGCCGGAGGTCCTGCTCCTCAAGGCCGCCCGCCTTCATGGGACAGCATGGGACAGCAAACCTGTCCCTTTTGGGGCAGCTCTCCCTGCCGGCTTGTGTCTATGCAAATGTCTTATATTACTCTGTCCCTTTCCCTAATAAAC